GGCTGGCGGAGCCTCCCAGCTGGGACGCGTCTCTGCTCTCTCCAGGAATCCAAGAAGCACCTGGCGGGTTTGGGTGTGCTGGGACTGGGCAACTTGATCACTGAGATCACCGCCAGCGAGGAGGACAGCCCAGAGGCTGATGGAGCCCACCTGACTGAGGAAGGTTAGGCACTGGAGTACCTGCAGTTAAATGGCAGAGGGGGCTGCAGGATCAGAGATCTTACTAAAAATGAAGAAACGTGCTCAGGTCAAGGAGTACCGTGATGGTGTTTTTTTGTCAGAGGTCCTCTGGCAAAGTCCTTGCCTCCTCCTTTTGCTAAAATGAAGCGCACATTATCTCCTGCTCACTTTTGCACTTGTTCTCTTTAATTATTTTTCCCCCCACTTGTTTCTTCTTACTTGTAAGTTTATTATGTGTTTCCCCCCCTGTTGAAGAAGCCTCTGTAGTGCACGGTATTACTACACCTTTTTTATTTCTGAGCTTGTTGAACAGTTTCACTGAGTAAGTGAAAGGTGTTCTGTGTGCTAAAGTTGATACTTACCAATCCTTAGGGGAAATTCAGTGCTTTTGGGGCTTTCGGTTGGAACAAGGGGAACAATACTCTGATGGGAGATGTTAATCAGATGTTTTTGTTCTTCTGTGAAGAGGAAGCATAGGCAAGGATTCATGTGTATATAGTGAAGTCTGAAGTTAGTAATAAACTCTTGTGTGACTTGATTTCTTTTCTTCCTAGGCTGGGTTAAGAGCACGGAAGATGCTGTTGATTATTCAGACATTAATGAAGTGGCAGAAGATGAGAGCCGCAGGTATAAGCAGGCGATGGGCAGCCTGCAGCCAGTTCGAAGACCAGGTAGCGTTACAGCTCTAGAAGCTCTGCTTTCTGTAGAAGATACTGTGGGGCAATGGGCTGTGACAGTCTCTTGCAGCAGGTGACATTGTGCTTTTTCACTCCTTGCTTCAATAAACCCAGTATAAGCTGCTGTAAAACTGTTCACTGAATGAAGCTGCTGTTTGATGTCTTCCTTTTTAAAGGAACTCTAAAACAGAGTTAAACCATACTCAGAAGAGAAACCAGGATCCTCCTTTTGCTCTGTGATCCCATGCAGAGAATACACAGTACATCTGTGCTCATATTTCTTTAACCTGTATTCTTGGGAATGCAGGAGGCCGGGTGCTTCTCAGAGATGCTGATACCTTAGAGTCGCTTCAACCTTAACGTCTCTCTCCTCTTTTACTCTTGAATTCTTTTTCTGAGGTGACTTTCTGCAGAAGGCACTTTGGTTCTTTTGTTGGTCCCAAAGATCTCTGTCCGGCCTAGAACAGATTTTCAAACACATGCAGCTTTTCCCTTTCAGTAGCAGTGTAAATGCTGAATCTTTCCATGTTCCTTAAAGCTGCCTGACACTTAACCTTTCTGTTGATGTAACATGGTTAGGGGGATGGAAAGGTGAGTTGGGTTTTTTAACCACGTTTTTCTTCTTTAGCAGCTTTGTTTGCTACGCAAGGCTTGAATAAGGGAAAGTGGTAGCAGAATATATTTATTTCAAGTGCTTCAGTCATCTTCCTGTCAGTTTGCCTTTCCCCCCTCTTTCCCATTCTTTCCTAAGTCTCGATCATGCAAATGAATTTGTGCAGGAAGTCAGACTTGTAAGAGTTGTGCATCTAGTTACAAAATGAGAGTGGTGTCCTAACTAATGGTCTTGTCATAACATTGGGACAGATACGAGGTAGTGTAAATGGGACAGGTGCCGGGTTCCCTTTTATTGTCTGCTTAATATGCAGTCTTATCTCCCGACTGGTTAGATGAAGATGAAGATGATTATGATGCTGACTGTGAAGATATTGATTCTAAGTTGATGCCACCACCACCGCCACCTCCAGTACCTGGGAGGAAAGAAGATGAAAAGGATGCAGTTGCCACTGGTGAGTGAGGACTTAGTTCTCTCTGGCAGTGTGAGTATCTGAAGGAAGCAAACGCTGCTTTGTAGCAGTTCCTTCTGCGGCAAGCATCACGCACGCATCATCAAAATTCAGTCTGCAGGCTGTATCTGAAGGTGGGTCTTTGTCTTGGTGCACAGTTTTAGAGGATTGTCTGAAATGTAAGGTGAAATATTGTATTTTCAGTGATTGTTAAAATACTGATATTGACGATGAAACTGCTTTTTTATTTCATCCTCTCAGTTGTGGCTGGGAAGTTCATCTGGAACGCTTAGGATAAAATGAAAAGTTAAGCCAGAATGGTACTCATAACACCTGCAGAGACTTAAGTTTTGCATAACTCGGTATAAACAGTGGATGTGGCATTGTGGGGTTGTACTAGGGGACAGGGAGGAAACCAGTTTGTTCACAAGGCGCTTGTTCTGTTGTAGTATCTGAAGATGGAGACGGTATCATTTTGCCCTCCATCATTGCTCCTTCCTCTGCTGCCTCCGACAAGGTGGATTTCAGCAGCAGCTCTGATTCTGAGTCAGAGATGGGACCTCAAGAAGCCAGGCAGGCAGAATCCAAGGAAGGCAAACTCACACTTCCTCTTGCAGGAATCATGCAGCGAGACGCTACCAAACAGTTGCCAAGTGTTACAGAGCTCTTCCCAGAATTTCGACCGGGCAAGGTATTGTAAAAGATGCACTAAACTGACAGAAACTGTATCATGTGAGCCCTTGAAATATGAAGTATGTAAAGTATGAAGTGTAGTATTAATGTTGTGTAATAATTAATTGCACAGATGTTCTCAGCTCAATACTTTCTTTAGTTTCTGTGTCCTGCTGTTACCGGACTGCTTAACGCGTAATGCTGCTGCTGCCATTTGCAGGAGCCTCCTAAAAAGCATGATGTAAATCAGGATGTGAAATAACGTTTTACTGTTCTGTAAGATCATAACACAGGCCTGTTGATTTTGTGAAAATTGTGGTTTTTTTTGTGAGGTAGTAGAGAATACTTTTGCCACATGATTAAAAAAGATAAAGCTAATCTGTCTGCTTTCTGGTTTTTCTCGCAAATATTTGCGGCTGCTTTCATGCTGTCCTGAACTTGGTGTGCTCTGCCTATAATAATTTGTGATCTGTATCCTTTACTTAATCCTCCCTCAGAACTGCTCTGAGTATGGATCAGAAATTAGCTCAGTAATAGACTGGTTGAAAGAATGATTTTTTTTTTTTTTTTTTTTCACAATGTGAATTCATTACAATACTTTCTGAAATGCTCCTGAATAGCAAATGTAGTCAATATATTTCAATCATTATTTTGAAAGTTTTAAAGCTGTCAAGAGGAGGGGAAATGCGGGAGGGGAAGGAGAATAAAATGCGTTTAAAGTTACAAACCAGATGGTTGTGAGCCAGCATAACCTGGTTTTATGTGTGCCTCCATTGCAGGCTTTGAAAGCAGTAAAGAGCTGATCGATTTACGTAATTTAATGTCATGTTTTAATGATTTAGCTACCATCTGTCTTATTAGAAATCTAGATGAGGCTCTAGCTGAGCACAGCCTTCTGGATGTTCTTTTAGCTTTTGCAAATTTGATGTTTCCTGTGTTACTGTATTTTGTATCAGTGTGTTTGTCTCTTCAGTGCTCAACATGTAATGTCAGGAACTGGCTCAGTGTTGAATGTGCTCAGTGGGTGCAGAAGTCAGTGTAAGCTGTTAGTGCTGAGCACTTCTCATAGCTCATGAGCGCTAGAGCTGGCAAGGCCTGAAATCCTGTAGCTTGGGCTGTGAGGACTGGTGTCTGAGAATGTGCATGTTAAAGTAGCACTATTTTTCTTGGTGAAACCACTTAAAATAGCGTATGGAGGACTTTGTGCTTAATTAAACTGTTAGCAGCTTAACTAAGTCTTAACTTTAGTCTTGGTGAAAGGTCATTGAAAATGTCCAAAGGGTTCAGAAGTAATCTGGGGGAGTTTTGGTGAGAAGGATATTGTGGATGTGGGCAGAGATGAACAGAGTGGTCATATAAACATCACTTCTTTTGGCGATCAGTGTACCTGATTAATAGGGAACATTAATAGAATGTCTCTTTATAATTTTTTTTCTCTAATTCTTGTTTCCTAAATCTGTCAGTGAATTTGGGAATAATGCTTTCCTTTTTTACAAGAGTGCTCTGAAGAAACAATTACAATTGCTTAAAAGACAGCAACCATAATCATAGAAGAAACAAGAGAGACAGTTTGACATTAGTGTAGGTTTTGGAGGTATGCAGTATGCAAATAGGGGAACTGCATTATGATGGAAATAAAAATGAGTGTATTTCTTGACTATGGTATTTGTTTTTATTTGTTTGCTTAAGAAAATTCTGCTTTATGTAACTCTCTTCTAGCTTTGTCTCTTTTGTGAATAATTTCATCAACTCTTCTTCAATCTCCACAAATAATGTTGATTGTTCCAAATGAAAATAATCACTTCTAGGTAGTGTTTTGCCACGTGGCCAATATATAAAGGCCACTTTTCTTCCCTCTGAGTTTCTTTGTGTCTGAAATGAAAAGTAAATCCTCTTGAAAAGGAAGGATCCATCAAACAGATGGATCAGAAACTTTTTTCAGGTACAACCAAGAAGTTGTTGGTTGCATCAAGGGCTGAGGTTGTAGTACAGACCAAGCTTCTCAGTTTCAGAGTGCATTCTTTCATTACTGCCTTTCAGGTGAGGGAAAGACAGGCAAGCATTCCACAGTGGTTTTTTTTTACCTCTGACCTTCTTGCTTTTTCCTGTTGTAGGTGCTGCGTTTCCTGCGTCTCTTTGGCCCTGGGAAGAATGTTCCCTCAGTCTGGCGTAGCGCCCGAAGGAAGCGCAAGAAGAAGCATCGGGAGTTGGCACAAGAAGTACAGGAGGGTGAAGTTGTAGTTGAGAGTGGAATGGAAGGAAAATCTCCTTGGGAATATGAGTTTGCTGCTCCTCCCCCTCCTGAGCAGTGCCTTTCAGATGATGAGGTGGGCTATCTGTAATTTAGAGAGTCACCAGCTGGCACTGGGGGTAGTAGTGTATTGGACAGAGACTTTTAGAGTGAAGAGCTTTTCCTCCAAAATAAAACCGGAGGACAGGGTTGGCTTGTATTCCAACTGTGCAGAAGCTCTTCTTTTGATACTAGTCAGTGACTTCAGGTGATTGCTTCTTTCTGAGAAGGTGACATCCATGGTACAGGATCAGTAGGAGAGCTTATCCTCTTTGTATGAAGAAGAAATCTCTGTGTTCTTGGAAGTCTAATTGCAGAACATTCTTAAGGCAGCTAGTAAGTATGGAAAACCACTTCTGAGAAATACTTTACTCCTCCAAGAATAAGCTGGGAAACTTGGAAGGAAGAAGCCTTTTACAGATGTTTAGATAGACCGTCAGTGTAACTGTTCCCTCCTTTGCTGTGCTTCAGATTACCATGATGGCACCTGTGGAATCAAAGTTTTCCCAGTCGACTGGTGATACAGATAAAGTGACAGATACAAAGCCTAAAGTGGCAGAATGGCGCTATGGCCCAGCACAGCTCTGGTATGATATGCTGGGGATCCCTGAAGATGGCAGTGGATTTGATTATGGTTTCAAGCTGAAAGAGAAGAAGGAGCAAGAGGTTAAAGGACACACAGATGAGGGGGTGAGAGGAGAACTGTGGGGGAACGTGTGATGTACAGCAGTCCCTAGTGGCACACACAATGAGAGCTTGGTGATAGTGTTGGTGGATGGTTGTGTGTCATGCAAAATTTGGACTTTAATTTTCCTCCTTTAGTGATAAAGTCAGGGCAGGCCTCCAAGCTGCTATTCTTTCCTTCCAGGATGCAGTGTTGACGGATGAGAAGGATGATCTGCTAGCTGATGAGCACTTCCTTATGGTGACACAGCTCCAGTGGGAGGATGATGTTATCTGGAATGGAGAAGATGTCAAGCACAAAGGAACTAAGACGCAGCGGGCAAGCTTGGCAGGCTGGCTGCCATCTAGCATGACAAGAAATGCCACTGCATACAATGCCCAACAAGGTAACAGGTGGTCTGGTATGGATTGTAGCTATTGTAGTTGAGCTCAAATACAGAATATAATTCTTCCTGTGAGGGAATGATTTTTGGCAAAATCACAGCTCTGCTCAGAATTCTGAGATTTTACTTTCCAAAAGCAGAGTAGGTCTCTTCTGTTGAAGAAAATACAATTCTGGCTTTCTTCTCTCCAAGTGGAATACCAGATGCTAGATCCATCTACATCAGTGTCAAGCAGTACGTCAGTATCAAGCGCTTAGGATGTCTGCTGTTTATAGGCTAGTGCAATTTTCCTTACATGTATTTTTCTTAACTGGAAGAATTGTGTAATAGACCTCTGAAGTTTCTCCTTAACTAGTAACAGTATTCTGTTTTTTCTAGATAGGAAGTAGCAATTCTTCTAAGCATCAGACTTCTCTTGGACACATGTATTTTGAATTTAAATTGCTTGTGTAGAATGAATGTTTATCATCTGTTCATTATCTCTTGCCCTGCTTCTACAAGGAAAGACTAATGGGAATGTCACATCTTTATTGGGTTCTAGTGTGAGTCCTTTACTGTTGCAGCTATGGGTATAAAGCACTCCAAGGAACCGTTCGGGTGAATTGGAGGTGGCTTTTTATAACAATTTTCATCTTGGCACAGTTGTGCCTCAGGTATTCAGGCATAGGCTTGCTGTGTTTGAGTCCTGTCAAAAGTTACAGTAGCATGTTAAACCTGATTGGTCTGTTCACATGCATTAGGTCTTACGCCTTCCGGAAGCATTAACTTAAGTGACATATGTGCATACATGTAAGCATAGGTGAGTTGGTCTGCCTGGGAGAATCTGCCTCCACAGAACGATGCCTTGAGGTCTCTTTGGTTGTCCTTTTTTTTGTGACAGTTTGACATAAGACAGGAAGCTGCTGGAGGCCAGACCAACTGTTCTGTCGATGGCAACTGTCTGTTGAGGGCCTCTCACTTTCAGAGGGACTACATGGAAATGCACCTTGTGCATTGTCATATAGCATCTGCAAAGCAAACCAAACATAGCTTTGAAGAGGCTGCACACTCCAGCAGTCAGCTGTGGGTGGGCAAGTTTTTATAAGTCTTACCTGGAGTTATGACACTGCAATATAAGCAGCAGGCCCGTCCTGAGTTAGGCTGGAAATCACTCTCCATGCAGCCCCCAAGTTCTGGTTTAAGGCAATGCCATGCCCCCTAATCCTCCCACTCCAGCTAACCTTACTTTTCTTTTCCTTTTCTCTAGGTTTGAACCGCAGTGGCTCTTTGCTCAATCCACCAATTCCACTAACACAGAAACCAAATGTGACAGGAGTCCTAGGTGTAGCAAAGGGCAAAGAAAAACAGGCCCCTGAACAGCAAGGTAAAGAGGATGTCAATCTTTGCCTTATGAATAGGTGCATGTTTCTTTATTATAGACTTGTGTTTGATGTAATAACAGGGTCCTTTTTTGGTAAGAGGGTGTAGATAAAGGGGATGCTTGTTTGCTCTGAAACTTGTTAGAGGCCCTATTTCACTCTTGGAAGTTCTCTGTGTTTCAGTAGAGTAAAATCTCTGTAAGTTTTGGTAAAACTCAAGACATGGGGCTTTGGTTCCTCTTTGCTTCCAAGATGAGTTTTCTTTTGCCTCTTAGAGATCCTGCCTCAGAAAGCCCTGGAAGATGGGAAAGGTTGAGGGAATAAGATCTGGGGATGAGCTCTGAGTTGTTTTTCTGACGAAATAGTGTATAAAACTCAAGGGTTATACCTTACTATTGTTGCAGTTACCCTGGATGAAGACAAGCCCTGGTACTCTATTTTTCCAATTGATAATGAAGAGTTAGTATACGGCCGTTGGGAAGACAATATCATCTGGGATGATCAGGCAATGGAAACCTACTTGGATCCCCCTGTCTTAACCCTTGATCCAAATGATGAAAACATAATTCTAGGTATGTTTATGGTATCCCGAAATTTGACTCAAATGGGAAAGACAAGTAGAAATGGAAGCGAGGCTTTATAGTCTCACTGTAATGGAAACAAATGGACTGGGTCAATAGCTATGACCTTTCTTTGTTTTGGCTTTTGAAGGTAATTTGCAAGTAATCCAAGGCCTAAGCAGAAGAAGGCAATGCTAATAACTCTGATGCTGTGGTACATACTTCCAGCTCCCAAGTTAAAAGCAGTAACAGGAGAGTTAAAATGGATGCCCTGAGTGGCTCTTGTGTTTTAGAAGTGGCTCTTCATTTTACTTGCATGCATCTTGGTTTGAAGAGAGAAAGTAGAGAAGTAAACCACAAACTAGCCCATGCCATGGGCTCAACATGGCATGTATTGAAAGCCTGAAGAATAATCCTCTTTCAGGCTATGGTAATGGCACATGTGAGCAATGACTTTACATAGTCACAGAATTATAGAATGGGTTGGGTTGGAAGGGACCTTAAATGTCATCTAGTTCCAAACCCCTGTCACAGCCAGGGATACTTCCCACTAGACCAGGTTGCACAAGGCCCCATCCAGCTTGGGCTTGAGCACCTCCAGTGGTGGAGCATCTACAACTTCCCCAGACAACTCGTTCAGTGTCTCACCGCTCTCATTTAAGAACTTCTTCCTGATTTCTAATCTAAATCTACCCATTTCTCGTTTGAATGCATTACTGCTTGTCCTATCACTACAAGCCATTGTAAAAGGTCCCTTTCTTGTAGGCCCACTTCAGGTACTGGAAGGCCATGATAAGGTCTCCACAAACCCTTGTACACTCCAGGCAGAACAACCTCAACTCCCTCAGTCTGTTTCCTCTTTTCCAGTCATTGGGAACTTCACCAGACTGCTATGACTTTTCAGATATGATGGAAAACAGCTTAGCAACTTCATCTGCCACTTCCCTTAGGACCCGTGGATGAATCTTGTCAGATCCCATGGGATTGTACACCTTCAGCTTCTTTAGTGGGTCTCGAAACTGATCTTCGCTTACAGTGGGCAGATCTTCCTTCTCCCAGCCCTTGCCTTTGCCTTCTACGACTTGAGTGGTATGGCTGGAGCCCTTGCTGGTGAAGCCTGAGGCAAAGAAGCTGTTGACTACCTCAGCCTTCTCCATATCTCTCATGACCAGGTCTCCTTTTCCTTCCAGAGAGGGCCCACATCCTCCCTAGCCTTCCTTTTATCGCTGATATACTTGCAGAATTTTTTCTTGATACCCTTGATGTCCCTGATAGATTTAATTTTATCTGGGCTTTAGCTTTCTTGTTAGTATTTTTGTTGCTGCTACAAATTTACTTAGTATTCCTGGAGTTAGATTTGAATGTACTCCTTGCTTATATTGCTACAAGGTGCAGAGATTTTGTCTTATTTGGATCACTCATATCACCACTTTCTCTTAGATCTGTGAGTTGATAGTCTTCAAGCAGCCTTATGTAATTTAAGGATAGGCATATCTTGCTACACTTATATGGCCTGGATTGCATTTTCTTCCTCTGGAACGGGGGTCAGTTCTTAGAATTTGTATGTAGTGTTTGGAATGTGTTGCTATTAGCCAGCAACCTTGAAAATCACTCTTCATTTGAGTTCCGTTGGAGACAAGCAGACTTGCAGTATTTTCTTTCCAAATCTGAAATACGCCATAAAATCTCAGAAGTTTGCATAAATAGTGACAAAGGCCAATCCATTCTAATTTCATATGGAGTGGCATGAGATCTATTCATGAAGTTGATGCAGTGTTTACCAAGCTTATGTTTCTAGGCCCTGCTTCTTATATGAAAATCTTACTTGGAGAATCCATGCTTCACAAATTGCTAACTTTTAAAATCCATACTTCTTTCTTGGAATTTTTCAGGAATTCCTCTTGGATTCACAGCCATATTATTTTTAGATTCAGACTCACTTTCATGTTGTATATGTATGGGGATGAAAAGGTTTATTAGTACATACATTTGTGAAACAGTATTGGCATTCC